GGCGTGTGTGTGTGTGTGTGTGTGTGTGTATGTGTGTGTGTGTGTGTGTGTGTGTGTGTGTGTGTTTGTGCCTGGTGCCTGTGGAGCCAAGAAAATGGAGTTTGATCCTCTGGAAGTAAAGATAGTTATTAGCTGCCATGTGGTTAAAGATAGTTATTAGCTGCCATGTGGTTACTGAGAACTGAGCCAGGTCCTCTGTAAGAGCAACAAGTGAGTTATTAAATTAACAGGCTAGCAAGCCAAGGATGGGTAAGATTCTGCACAGAGCCTTACCAACCTAAGACAGAAATTCATTTCTTTTGATAATGCATATTCCATGATGGGTAGAAGGCATTCTTGCCAGAATGACCTAAGACAGGCTCAGTCTTGTTAATGAAATAAAAAAGAGGGAGATGCAGAGAGCCTTTGGGGATGCTTGGCAAGAATCTGACATGTGCCAAGGACAAGGAAATGGGCTACTTGGCAGGAATATGACATTGGCCAAGGACAGGGAAGTGAGCTTCAGGCAGGAATCTAAATCTTAAGTTAGAACAAAGAAGTAATTTCAGGCAGGATTCTAAATTTTAGGCTAGAACAAGGAAGTAGGCTTCAGACATGAAAATGACCTTGGGCTAGGACTGGGAAGTAGGCTCAGATACTTTAGTCATCCTGATAAGCCCTTAGAAACAGGTATCACGGGAATGTTCACATAATTGGGTTTAATGCTTTGCTTTTTCTTTGACCATTTGTGTTTATTGTCTTGCTTGTTCCTTGACTATTTGCATCTATTGTATTGCTAGACCCTCAACCTAGAACTGGCCTTAATACATGCATGTAATTAAAATGGTATAAAAGCATAAAGGAGGAGGAGGAGGAGATGGGGGTTCTAGAGAGGGAAAATGGGGAAAGGGGATGGCATCTGTATTGTAAATAAATAAAATATCCAATAAAAAATTTTTTTTAAAAAGAGCAGCAAGTGCTCTTAACTTCTGAGATATTTCTCTTTTGTTTTGAGAAAATATCTGAAAAAGATTCCTCTCATTTTCCTATGTCACTGACCATTGACCTTAAATTTTTTTCCTCCTGCTTCCTTCTAAGCAAAAGGATTATTGGTGTATGCTACCATACCAAGTTCAAAAACACTCTACCAACTGAACCATCCCCCCCATCTTGTATTTCTCTCTCTCTCTCTCTCTCTCTCTCTCTCTCTCCAGTTTGCCTTTTCTTTTTGCCATAGCAGGTGACATCCATTTATAGTTCCTCAGCTTATTTCTCCCCCATTCAGAGGAGTGGCCAAAGACTATGGTTTTCCACTCCTTGTCCCCATTTAACCTCTGGAGAAGGACTCACTGGCCCAGCTTGGTCAAATGACCATCAGATTCAAATAATGTGGTCAAAAGAACAGGGTCACTCTTCTAGAATGTAGTTGTCAAGAGCTACTGGGGCTGGGATGGAACTGGTGTGAGAGAAAACCAAGAGGTCTCCTTCCAAGAGACCTGATATCTGATGTCGTTTCTTCTAGAATGTCCATTCTGGTCATTTGTATACTGATTACTGGTTTGGGGATCATCTTTATAATTAGTCATTTGTCCAGAGGAAGGCGAAGCCAAAGAAATAGAGGAGGTAAGTAGCCTGGAAGCAAGGGGGGGCATCTAGAGTTCAAGGAGTATCTTTCAAATGAATGAATGTGACACTCCTCTTATTGCCTAGTCACTTAGGTACCAAGGCAGCTAGCTAGCCCACAGGCTGAGGAGGATGTAATCTACCCTCTTAGAGTCAAAGGCATTATGAGAAGTAGTGGAAGAAGCATGATAGTCTTAAGTGGAGGTGGGTGCAGACAGGGAAGAAAGAAGGCAGAGTTAACCATGTGTAGGTTCCATATGGGGCTACTTGCCTCCCCAGCACACAAGCTTTGGATAGTAGCCTGATATTCGTACTGCCTGTTTGAAACATTTTATTCACCTGTAGGGGTGGAGACAAGGCTCTTGTCAAATAATGGAGATTCTATAACCTCCCCCAACTGGGCCAGAAAGTGTGGAAAGGGCTCCTTGCCAAGGGGTCTGTGTGGGACAGGTGGGCCCGGAATCTTGGGCCTTAGCTTTGTGTCTCTGTTTTCCCTTGGATAGTTACTGGCAAAAACATCAATAGAAATCAGCAAGCAAGCCAAGCTCCATCTATACCCTTGGTAAGTTCCATCCTTAATTCTTCAGTCCTGCTTTCTCAGCCCCAGCAGAACTCTGTCTTTAGCCTCTCTCCTTTCATAGAGATAGAACTGTGACTGTATGTCTTTGCCTGGGACACAGGCAGGCCCTACCATCTGGAAAGTTCTCTAGGTCACCATGTGGTGAGTTCATCATTCTCCTATGCTCTGAATCATTTTCAGAACTGAAAGACCACTGAAAGAATACCACAAGCTCCTTTGTTTAGCCAAGGCAATGCTGTTTGCTTTTGTCTTTTTATGATCAGAAACCATAGAAAGACCTTGGACATTGAAGAAGCTATAGGTATAATTACAAGATGGATTCCAGTCACTCTGGGTTTGGAAACATAGGAAAATATTCCAGGAAAATGAGTGAGATAAAACAAACAAACAACTCAGAACAGAAACCCACCACCATCACCAAATCCCAGGAGCATCCTAATGACAAAAGACCTATTAATGACACTCCATGGACAAGTGCCTGGAGGATCTGGGAGGATGTGAAAATAAGGCTACAAGGTCTCAGTCTGCTCCTGTGAGATTTGGGTTTCATGCAGACATAGAACAAGCTCTATAAGAAGGTAAAGGAAAGGTTCCCATAGCGACGTTGCCTTTTTGCCATCTAGAAGCTTTGGGATCAGTGGAGATGAGGGATATACAGAAAGCAGTGGCCTTCAGGGCTTGTCTGGTTCTATCCCATCCATGTAGGAAACAATTGTAGTTTATATTTCTTTCAGAAACTTATCATTGATTCTTTAAGATATGACCCTGGGCAACATTTCTCCTTTCCAAGCTAGTTTTTCTCTCTACATTAAACACTCTGTTTCTATACTCTTCTGAGTTTTCTATCCTTCCATCCACCCATGACCCACCCATCCCACACATGCACCCTTCATTTTGCAAACTAGGAACATACTAGTTGCTGAGGTTACAAAGACAAACGAATGATATAAAAGGGGAAAATAGCTGAGTGGCTGTGGTACTCCCAGAAGCCCAGGCAGAAGCATCTCAAGTCTGAGGCCATCTTGGACTACACAGTGAGTTCTAGACTTGCTTAGACTACAGAGTGAGACTCTGTCCCATACATAAACAAAAAAGGTGGTGTGGTAGGGTGGAGGAGCACAAGCAACCACGCATAAGCACACGTGTAAGCTTGTCAACTAGAATAAGTGAAAGAGGCATGATACTATAAATGATGGGAATATAGAATCCAATGCTGTTCTCTCTAGCAAGGAGCCAGTAACTTGTTTTAGCCATGGCCTATTCCCTCATCCTTGGGTAAACTTAGCATCCTGAACTAAAGTCCCTTCTAATTTTGTTGTTATTGGCCCCTGAAGTCCAGATACATCAAAACTCAGTGAGAGGGGAGCAAGCCCTAAATATGTACAGCTGACTGAGAAGTCTCAAAGGGATGACATCAAGTTTCAGTTTCAGGGCCAGTAAGACGGACGGCTCAGTAGGTAGAGGTGCCTGCCACCAATCCTGTTGACCCGAGTTTAATCCCCAGTACTCCGATGTCAGAGAGCCAAGTTGTCCTCTGACTTCCACATGTGTCCACATAACATAGCACTTGTGTGTCTTCCACCACAGAGAGAGAGAGAGAGAGAGAGGGGGGTTGGGGGGTGGGAGAGGTGGGGGAGAGGGGAGAGGAGAGAGAAAATAAATTACAAAAAAAAGCCTTGGGTAGTTTGTTCTTGGGAACCCTGGGAATGCCAGGAGTGGCTCTTACCCTGCCTTTTGCCATCTAGAAGCTTTGGGGATGCTTAGGATTCTTTGAAAAAATTCCCAAGTATAGGAATGTAATCTTCAATTTAGAATCGAGGAAAAGGAAAATAGACTCAGAAAAGTGAATTTTGTGACTTTTTGCTGACAAACACTCAGGCAAGAGCTCTCAACTCAATTTTTCTTTTCTGCTTCCCAACAAAGTAGGCAACGATTTGAAGTTCTTTCCACATGTCCTGACTCAAAGAAATGGCTCGAACTGAACACATGTGACTGAAGATTTCTTTCATTTAGCTCCCAAATAAAGTGATGTCATTACCGTAGAATCTCCATGACAACTGGTCTGCATCTCAGAGACTGATTCTGACCTTTCAGGATTTCTAAAGGACTCTGTGACCTTGCAGCAGTCTTTTGTGGCAAATGGCAGCACTGAGGCTCAGAAGAGCTTTGATAGACCACACCAAGCAAGGCGGCCATTGAATAATCTCTCCAAACCTTAGCTCTCTAGCTACAGCAAAGAAGAGGTTACAGAATATGGGATAAAGGGAAATGACTTGTTTATTTTATCAGCCAGTAAATATCTGAATATTGTTGAAAAAGCACACCCCCCCCTCCGGTATGACTGACTTCTCCTAGGCTATCATTGCTAGAAAGGTATTTATTGAAATGTTCCTAAAAAGCATAATATTCCAATGCATTTCTGAGTTGGTATCAAATGTTTTATCCCAAAATAGAAGCTCGACGAGTCTGTGGTTCTCATATTCTCTTGGTGAAAAGACTCTGGACCCCAAAGCACATCCCTAATAGGAAACTGTCACCAGTTAGTGGGTGCTGCTTTTAACCAATGAGGAACCAAGGGGTGACAAGTGACAAATGTTTTCCAATCAAGAAGCACAAAGCAAGAATAAGGCATCCATCTGTGGGAGCAAGAAGGATTACCACTACTGCAGTGCTGCCCCGCAAGCTGGCCATCTCCCCACATGGCATCTCTCCTGTTTCATCACTGTCTTTGCTGCCCTTAAAGCCCTGCTACCCTGTGGGGGAAGTGCACATCCATGTGTGTGCTTGGACATATAGAGGCTGGAGGATAACCTCAGATGTCATTCCTCAGGAGCTGTCCACTGTATATGAGACAGGGTCTCTCGTTGGCCTGGAGCTTGCTAACTAAGCTAGGCTAGCTGAACAATGAGAGCCAGAGATCCTCCTGTCTCCACCTCTCCAGCGCTATGATCACAATCATGTGCCACGGGGCCCCACATTTTCCCAAGGGTACTGGGGATCGAAGTCAGGTGCTTGTTCCTGCAAGGCGAGCCTTTCACTGATGGAGGCATTTCCTTAGTCCCAGAAGCACACAGTTTGGTATGCCATGCTCCCTTGTAAGGAGAAGTAAGCCCAGCCTCAGCCTCCAGAATCCTCAAGTGACCCCCTAGTCTTAAACAGGGTTGGAGTGCAGACTGGGTGTTGATTACATTCAGTATGTATCTTGTCCGATTAGGTCAGGGCTCTTGAAATGTCTTTGATGAACATAGTTCAGGTTCTGCCCTGACTCCTTTCTATAGGGAGGGAACTCCAAACACCTCAGCAGTCTGAGAGAAAGGGCAAGGGTCTAGATGTCATGCTTGCATGCTTCCTTGTAGTCTTTCTTCTTCTTTGAGTCACAAACACCCCACCCCCCCCAAAGTGCTCTCCCTCTGCTCCTGATCAATTTCAGTCTTGCCCAGTGGTCATGTATTGAATTTATACATAGTCAACTCACCAGGGACTATATTCTTGGAGAAAACTGGCTGTTTCCCAGCATCTAATAATTGGTAATAATTCTTTACCTAGGGGTAAGACTGTGTGCCTAACTCATCTTTCCATGCTTGGGCTTACACAGGTCTTGATGCTGTCATAATAGCTATGGGTTCGTATGTATGTATGTATGTATGTATGTATGTATGTATGTACGTACGTATGTGTGATTTGTGTGTGTGTGTGTGTTTGTGTGCTTGTGTACTAGGTTATGCACACACACTACAGAGTAAATGTCAGGGGACAACTTTCAGGAGTAAGTTTTCTCCTTCCACCATGTGAGTCCCAGGATTAAACTCAGATTGTCAGGTTTGGTAGCAAATGTACTTATCTACTTCATCAACACTCAGGTTTATTTTATAAATATTTTCTTCCTGCTTAGTCTTACATTTTAGAGTAAGCTTGCTTAATTAAAAAGAATCTTGCTGATTTTTTTATGGGGCAGTCTATATGATTGTCCATTTGTTTTGGGGAATAAATGAACATGTTTAATTTCTACTTTTGGCACTCAACCACGGTTGTCACACATATCTCCAATGCCATACAAAGGAGATAGAAACCCACATTTTAGTAGTGTTTTATACAATCCAGACTGTGTTGGCTTAGAATTCTGGTCTTGATTTCTGGAGAAGATGAAGGGACAGGGTGATAACTAAGAAGGGGCCATCCTTGGAGGAAGGTCTGCCATTATTTGAAAATCTTCAACTGTTCATTAGGGTTGGCTCCTCCCTGGTTATCGTCAGTACATTTCTTTTTTTTTTTTTTTTTGGTTTTTCGAGACAGGGTTTCTCTGTATAGCCTTGGCTGTCCTGGAACTCACTCTGTAGACCAGGCTAGCCTCGAACTCTCGAACTCAGAAATCCGCCTGCCTCTGCCTCCCAAGTGCTGGGATTAAAGGCGTGCGCCACCACCGCCCGGCAGTACATTTCTTTATCTTGAGCTCTGTCCCCCTTTGGAAAGGCTTAGGGGCATCATCCCTAAAGGGACTGCCACCACCAGTAGGAGTGAAAGCACCAGCCACCTTTCCCCTGGAGGCGAATGTCACTAACCATTGGTCCTTATGACTGATGGCAACTGCACTAGATCAAGCCTAAACTACCCCAACTGCAGCTTTACATAGACTGTGGTCCCGTTTGTTGAAACCAACAAAAGCAAACATATAAAACATAACCAGAAAGCAACATGCCGAAGGAGCTGAGCTGAGGTCCTGCATTCTGCCTCATTGGAGAGGCAGGTATGGGTCTGCCACTTTAATCTGAGAATAGACGGTGGGGTCCAAGCCTGAGGAGTGGTTTCTAGTCAAGTCATTGCTGTTTTTTTCTGAGGGCTTGAAAGTCATGCTGGCATACGTGAGTGACTCCTTTGATATAGACGACAGCTTTTGAAGAGAAAGAGAAGAAACAAGTGAATTTAATTTGAAGCAAAAGATGTCTCTTTAAAAGTGACCTGGAAACTTTGAAAAATGGGGACCCAAAGAAAGCAGAACAACTCATAAAAGAGCCACTTGCCCAGAGTCCAGAAAGTGATGACAATATTTCAGTCCAAAATGCAGGATAGAGAGGACACAGAATAAACTAACTCCCCTCTGCCCCCCACAGAATAATTTGGTGTGCCATCTCATCACATGCAATTTCCCTCTTGCACCCCTAAAACAGCATGTGGTCTTACCTTGGTAGGAGGCTCTGAGTGAGGGTCCTGGGTCTGGGCATGAGAGTAACCTGCAGCAGATACAAAGAAGAGGATTGTCCTTTCACTATGGGATCTGGAAGAGTGGGGGACCTCTCACTTTGGGTGAAGGTTAGTGGGTAGGGGTATGTGGGGTGTGGAGGGCAGCAAGGAGGAGCAGGGGAGGGCCTTGAGGTGGATCTGCAAAGAGGGTGGGCTAAGCAGACCTTCCTTCCTCTTCCCCAGTGCTCACTGCTCACAGTGCTCTCAGGGACAGCAGGAGAAGGCTTGTCTCACAGGGACCACTCACATTTTCTGCAGCTCTTGACGATGAGGAGGATAAGGGCCACAAGGAGCAGTGTCAGAAGAACCCCAGCAAAAAAGGCCAAGATTACGTGTTCCTTTCTGTTTTAGCAGAAACAAAAGGGAGTAGATAACCTGCTGGTAGAGGGCCCCTTGAAGCCTTTCCAGGAAGCCAGGCTTAACTTTCTTATGTAGGCTCTTACGTGGGCTGGAGGACTTGGTCCCACCCACTGCTGGAGAAGAGATATTTTGCTTTCAGGGTCCACAGTCATGAGACTTTCTCCCAATCCCATCCCCAACACTCCACATCCCAGCACTGTGTGAAGTGTGAGTGAGGATCTCTCAAATCTTGGCCAAGGATGAGTTCATACTGCTTGTAACCCAGCACTTGGAAAGCCGAGGCAGGAAGATTGTGGCAGTTTGGAGGCCAGCCTAGGCTACATTGTGAGACATGCTCAATCCCCCTCCCCTGCCCTGCCAGCAAAACAAAACAGAACTATACTCCTAAGGTCAAACACTGAGTTCTTTCACCGTTCCTGATCTCTCCCATTCATTCTGTCCTTCCTAAGGCCCCAAGACAAAATGGTCAACAACAACAAAAAAAAGCCCAACGGACTGGAAATGCCACAAGGATAAATGTGTTCCTTTACTTAGGGTTGAAGGAATAGGGTGTAGAGCTGGTCACTGGGGCTGCCGTGGAGGATGTCCCTGCAGAGAACATGGAAGGTATCAGTTTGGGGGGGGATCAGTATCTCTGCCCTTCTCCTGCCTTCCCTCTAGGATAAGACCCCATGCACTACCCCTGCCCATGGGAACTTGCAAGCTGGATATGACTCTGCAGAGGGGAGAACAGTGAGTCTTTTTGTCAGCGCTGGACAAGTGAACCCAGGACGTTTTGCATACCAGGTCAAGCCCTCTACCACTGAGCTACACACCATCTGAGTGAGACCTTTAAAATGAGAAGTAGAGCTGTACTGGAAAAGCTCTACAAAGTAAAGGAGCAGAGGTATAGTGGGAAGCCCTGGGGAGATGTGGTTCTGACTTCAGCAGGTACTTTCCTAGTTTCATTTCTCATGACTGCCAGTGTGTATGAGTGTTCGTGGTGTGTGTGTGTGTGTGTGTGTGTGTGCGCGCGCGCGTGTGTTCTCCAATGTCTAACCCACAGGGAGAGGAGCAAGAAACATGAACTAGATTTTCATAAACTAGCAGCTGATCTAGTTTGGAGGCCAAGCCAGGCCTTTCTGATTCCTTTTTTTTTATTCCTTGGTGGGCACTGGCTTCTGTAGTATGGAGTACTTGAACTCTTCTAGCTCAGAAACACTCTAGCCAACACTGTTCCCCATGGGGCCTTTGACACAACTTCTTTTACTAATTCACTGTAAGCACCCAGGGAAATGATTTCTGTCCCGAACTCACTGGTTCTGGGGTTAGGTGTGGAGGAAGTAGTTCCCATGCTGTCTTCTCCTGAGAATAAAACAGGTACTGTTTAGCTTGGTCTGGAGGCTGGGCATGGCAGTGCTTTCAATGGGGCATAGTTCAGAATGGGCTAACCCCTCTATGAAGGTTCAGTGATGGGTTATTATTGGTACTTTGTTTACCTGGAGATATTCAATGACCAGAGAAGTTACATTGGAACCCTTGAGCCTAGCATTTACTCTGTGCTTTTAAAGATAATTGACTGGGTGTGGTCACAAGTATCTCTAATCCCAAGCACAGGGGAGGTGGAAGTAGGAGGATCAGTAGTTAAAGGTCACCTCAACTTTGTAGTGAACTCTAAGTTAGCCTCTGTTACATGAGACCCTATCACAAACAAAACAAAAATAAGGGGTTGGAGAGATGATGAATCGGTGGTTAGCAGCACTTGGTGCTCTTTTAGAGGACCAGGGTTCAATTCCCAGCACCTACGTGGTGGTTCACAGCTATCTATAAGTCCAGTTCCAGGCGATCTTACACCATCTTCTTTCCTACACCACTACTGCATGCATATATATTCAGACAGGCAAACACCATGCATGTTAGTAAAAAAAAAATAACTAAATAAAAAAAAGAACAAAATCAAGAAAACTACTATTAGGTGACATAAGACCCAGTCTCTCCCCACCCACCACTCACTGATTCAATCACTCAAAAACATAAAGTAAAAATCCAGCACCTTGGGGGTCACCAACACAGTACGACTTTGTAGCTTTGGTACACCCAGTGACTCTTCTGCTATAACACATAATGACATACGGTGCTTCTTTTAAAGTAACATCTTTGAGATACATGGTGGCTTTTCAGACATGTATGCATGTCAATAAAAAAGTATTATTGAAATGAATGCAAAGATGAGGTGGAGAGATGGCTCAGTGGTTCAGAGTACTTGCTGTTCTTCTGGAGGACCCAGGTATGATTCCCAGTCCCCACATGGCAGCTCACAACCACCTGTTAACTCCCTTTCCAAGGGATTAGACACCCATTTTCTTGCCTCTTTGGGCACCAGACAAGCATGTGGTGCTCAGATTACATCCAGGCAAACCAGAAAACTGTAAAGCCTCTAAAGGCAGGATAGTACCTTCACCTGGACCCCTAGTGCACATTGCTAGCTGGGTGGGTGCTCTATTAAAGCTGCCTGAAACACTGTTTCCTATACAAGGCCAGATCTCTCTTCTGCTCAGCATTTTACGTTCATTCTTGCAAACTTCTAAAACCCTTGTAGAACATTTTTAGAGGGGATAGGCCTTTCTGAGTAGCGGCCTCTCCGCCATGTTTGTGGGAGACACTTTGTAAGTGTTGTGCAGATGTTAAAGACCAGTGAGAGTCTAGACTCCTGAGCAGTACAGAGCATGTTTTTTCTTATACGTGCCATACCTGGAAATATTTTAGAAAGTGGCACATGGAGAGGATTGGCTTCAAAACTAAAATAAAACAGAGTAATCCTTTCAATATACCATGATAAAAGCTATTCAATACACAGGATTGTTTATGTCTGGAAGGTCTTTATATTTTCAAATAACAGTTGGCCAAAAAGAACTGAAACTGGCAAGCAGACCTGTGTGAAAGCACACTACCCAGTTCAGACTGACTGGACTTTCTTTCTTTCTTTCTTTCTTTCTTTCTTTCTTTCTTTCTTCTTCTTCTTCTTTTTTTTTTTCTTGGTTTTTCAAGACAGGGTCTCTCTGTGTAGCCCTGGCTGTCCTGGAACTCACTCTGTAGACCAGGCGGGCCTCGAACTCAGAAATATGCCTGCCTCTGCCTCCCAAGTGCTGGGATTAAAGGCGTGCGCCATCACCAGCCCAGCTTTCTTCTTCTTTTTAAAAAGATTTATTTATTTAAGTGTATCAGTGTTTTGTTTGTATGCATGTCTATATGAGAGTGTTAGATCCTCTAGAACTGGAGTTATAGATGGTTGTGAGCTGCCATGTGGGTGCTGGGAATTGAACTTGGATCCTCTGGAAGAACAGCCAGTGCTCCTAAGCACTGAGCTGTCCCTTGAGCCCTGAAACTAGACTCTCTTAATGAGTTTCATGCTTATACAAATGTTTTCCAATGTTTTAAATAACTATGGAGACAGACACTTTTGTGTATAAAATTTCAGCTACAACCCTGGTTAATTTTTGGTGGCCACAACTTTAATTCATATTAAGGCAAACCCATAATTAAAAAAATTGGGGCTCTATAAATCCTCTGAATCTTTTTTTTTTCTTGGTTTTTCGAGACAGGGTCTCTCTGTGTAGCCCTGGCTGTCCTGGAACTCACTCTGTAGACCAGGCTGGCCTCGAACTGAGAAATCCGCCTGCCTCTGCCTCCCAAGTGCTGAGATTAAAGGCATGCACCACCACTGCCCGGCAAATTCTCTGAATTTTGTTTTGTTTTGTTTTGTTTTGTTTTGTTTTTGGTTTTTGTTTTTTTTGTTTTTTTTTTCGAGACAGGGTTTCTCTGTATAGCCCTGGCTGTCCTGGAACTCACTCTGTAGACCAGGCTGGCCGCGGACTCAGAAATCTGCCTGCCTCTGCCTCCCAAGTGCTGGGATTAAAGGTGTGCGCCACCATCGCCTGGCATCCTTTGAATCTTAAGGCAACTTACTTAGACAGAAAAATGCCATAAGCTCACATGTTTTAACCAGTCAGCTTTTATAAGTGAATATGCCTATCCTTAGATATGGGGGGAGACTTTTTGGAGGGGAGACTTTAAGAAGGACTCTTGTCCCTAAGTGTCATTAAAGCAGCAGCAAGGCAACATTATACTGTAGCTCACCATTCAGCATTTTCGTATCTGTCACTGTCAGATCAAAAAGAAAGTGCTGACAAGAAAATTTGGTGGGAAGTGTCAACTGTGAGAACAGGAAGAGCATACAGAATGAGCAGAGGTAACAATTTTTCTATCACTCTTTGGTTCTTTTTGAAATTTATGTTGGCCATGTGAAGTGGTACATGCTTTTAATCCCAGCACTTGGCATAGGACATCTGTGGATTTGAGATCAGCCTGGTCTACACAGTGAATTCTAGGCCAAGCCACTATGAGTAGAGACAACCTGTCTCAAAACAAAATAAAAATAAAATAGTCAATGGTATTCATTTTAGAACACAATGAAATATTAGCACATTTTGTTATACTTTATTATAGTATACATTTATATATTCTATAAAAATATATTTAACGTATTGAAATGTATTCTTCCTGAGGCATGTGAATTTCCACTAGACCAACGTCTAGAGCTACTGATAACTTCTGCTTTTGTAGGAGCGGTTCTATATGAAGAGGCAACACAAAGAAATATTATCAGATAAAAAAATCCTAGGCCACCCTTCTCTGACAGACTAAGTCTTAAAACAACACACAGAAACAGCTACTTTCAAATCCAGATGACAAAACCCAACAAACATATTTACCTTATAAGACAACAATCTCGCCAGGTGTGGTGGCACTCACTGGAGAAGCTGAGACAGGAGAATTGTCACGAGGTCAAGTCTAGCCTGGATCATACAGGATCTGTCTAAAAAATTCAAAGGGAGCCTGGCATGGTGAGTTTACATCTTTAATCCAGAAGTTGGCAGAGGCAAGCAGATCTCTTTAAATTTAAGGAGAGCCTGAGTTCCAGGCCAGTCAGGGCTACATAGTGAGACCCTGTCTAAGAACAAAAACAAAACAAAACAAATACCGACCAACCAACCAATCAACCAAAATAAGGGCAAGTTGGATGGCTCATCAGGTAAAGGCACATACCCCACAACTCTGGAAAACTGTGTTTCCTAGATCCCATGCAAAGGTGGAAGAAAAGAACTGACTTGAAAGCTGTTTTTGATATGCACACACACACACACACACACACACACACACTTTTTAAATCCAAAAGAGAATAACAATAATCCAAGCATAAAAGAATAACAATAATCTAATCCAAGCATTTGACAGAAGCAGAAAGTTGAACCAGAAACGATGCTGTTTGCAGTTTGATCTGGTACGAGAGACTCACAGTCCACACTGTGAGAGCTGTGCTCCACAACCATTCCAATGTAATCCTTCCCCCACCCAAATAAGAAAAACATCAGAAGCCACTAAACAAATAATTAAAACCTTTGATGAGCAATTATTTAGTTCGGATTAGAAGGGTCTTTACCTTTCCAGAAAAATTCCAGTCATAAGATGCAGCCGTGAGACTAAGCTTTTCACTTTTCTGTTCCTAGTCTTGGTTTTCAGAAATGATGAAACAAAAGTTTACTCCCACTGCCACTGTCACCCTAAAGCTGTGTCGCAAAGATATGTTTAACCTCCAAGGCACAGACTTCCTCTTTGAGGCCAATGATATTTTTTTTCCTTTTCCTTGTTTCCTTCTCTTTAGATTGGGTCCCTTCTCACAGAAACTAGGCTGGTCTCCACCTGCTGTGGATGATAGTGCCTTTCTGATCCTCCTGCCTCCACCTCCTAAAGGCTAGGATCACAGCCTGAACCTTCATGCCTGGTTTGTGTGGTGCCAGGATTAAACCCAGATCTTCCTGAAAGCTAGGCAAGCAAGCACTCTCTCAATGGAGCCATAGCCCCATCCTGTGCTACATTTCTAAAGATCCTGTAAGACAGAAGGGCTCCTTGTATACATTTTCACACATGAATGCCAAAGACCGAGGAAAGTTCATTTCTAGGGAAGAGTTTATTATTTAACCTTCCTGAAGCTACTGGCACCAGCATAACCTCATCACCATCAGCAAGGACTTTATAATTCCATCTGGCCTGATTAAGGAGATGATGCTGAGATAGAAACATGAAGAGTTACATGTTCAAATTAAACAATGGGAACTCAAGTGTGTTTAGAACACTGAAATACCTTTGGAGGGTACAAAAGATTTATTTACTTATAAGCATTTGTTAATAAAATAATATAAGGCAGATGCCATAGACCACCCTAGGATTGATGGATGGGATCAGGCAGTGTATTTGGGATCCTGACATGGTGTAGGACTGGGCACTGGAAGGAGGAGAAGCAATGCAGAGTAAACACAGATGGGCTGGAGCCAGAGTATGGAGGTCTTTACATTTAAACCTGTATGAAGTTGTCGGGCTGTAGAAGGACATCCTGGGTTGTTGGCCACGTCCCCAGAACCCAGGGACCTAACCCACGGTCTCATCTCCATTTCACCTGTACGGTCAGTCACATAAGACACAGGTAGAGGGTGTGACTAACAGGCCTCTGCCTCGAGATTTCCATATTAATGAATTACCTAAAGGACGGGGGACATAGCTAATTGTTTCCCCCTCCCTAGCCCCTCCTCTTTCCCTTTCCCCATATAAGAAAGCTCCTCCTGGCATTTGGTGAGGTCACATTCACATCTAGATACAACTATCATCATGAACAATAAACTTTCATCTTAGATTCTACATGTCTCCTGGAACTTTGGACATTCTCATGCATGTGGAAAACTCCGCCACAGGAAAAGCTCCCTGGACCTCTCCCACCCCCAACGGTGGCCCTCGGGCTGCCTGCGCAGACGCCCCCCCCCCCCCCACGGGCTGCCTCCGAAGCCTCTCTGGGGACTCTGATGCCACGCGGTCCATGGGCGGTCCTGAGCCACCTACCCGCCCCGCGCACATGTTCAAACCTTCATGCAGTCATTAGATTTAACTGAGTGAAGAAGAGACTGTATTCACATAAACCTAGATGGTATGTATCACTCACTAAGTATGGCCTCCAGATGCAATCATGAGAGTTGGATGTGGTGGCATATCTCTGAATCTTGTTCTCAGGAGGCTGAGACAGGATGATTTCCAAGCTTGAGGGTCTGGGCTATATAACCAGCCCTTTTTGGAGAGGAGAGGGGGCAGATTTGAGAAACATTAGCTGAATGAGGTTGCCACCAGCATAGACAGCATACTATTCTAGAGTAAACTTTTTAAGTAGGACTACAGTCTGAAATCATGGCCAAAGCTATAGCATCATAAGCTGTTTTATTATTTTCAAGTCCTGTATGGAGCTGTGTAAGATGCATGTGCTATACTTTTGCAGTGGGTTTGTTTACTCTGACATCATTGCAAATATGTAAGTAATGCTCTGATGTATGACATTACCATAGCCAATGTCAATGGATGAAGGGAATTTCCAGCCTCATTAAAATATATGTAATATATGTGAACTAATGTTGGCCATCATGTGCTATGTGATTTCATTTAACATTCAAAGAATAATGTGTAGAAGATTAAAAATTTTTTTTAATGTGTATAGATGTTTTGCCTGTATAGATGTCTGTGTAGCACATGCATACCTAGTGAAGAGCTCCTGGAACTGAAGTTATGAACAGTTGTGAACTACCATATGGGTGCTGGGAATTGAATGATAGTTGTGAGTTGCAATATGGGTACTGGGTCTGTGTCTCCTGGAAGAGTAGTCAAGTGTTCTTAACTGCTGAGACATTTCTGCAGCTCAAGAGTTTTACTATGTGTGCGTGTTGAGTTTCATACATGCATACAATGTATTTTTGATCTCCTCTTTTACCCCTAATCCCCCCTTCTCAACTTCATATCCTTGTTTCTTAAAATAATCCATCTAGCCCAATTTGTGTTTATATTCCCTGGTATGGTGCAGTCCACTGGAGCAAAGTCAAGTATACTAGGGCTTATACCCTTAAAGACAACTGATTTTCCTTCCCCAGAACCTATCAGTTATTAATAGCTCCTCAGCTAGGGGTGGAAGATTTCAAAGCCCTCCCTTCTACATGGACATTTTGATTGGGATACAGCATGAAAATACAGTTTTAAGGAAGGTTATGTCATAGAAAAGCTGTGGAGAGAGACAAGCAAGGTTGGAGTGATGGTGATATTTTGTGCATTGTTAGCAAGGATGCAGGCAAAAGGAACAGCAGAAAACCATAGATACAATAGGATTGAAGAACATGAGGATTAAAACACAGGCTGAATCAATAGTCATTCAAACTTTTGAGTCACAGTGGCTAAGCACTATTTTGATTCACTGATGACTTATTAAACATTGACTCAGGGCCATCTGTCACTTTTTAAAGTGAATTAAACTTAAAACTTCTATATGTGTGTGTACATGTACATGGCATGTTTGCTAAGGTCAGAGGATAGTTTGTGGGAATTGATTCTCTCAACTTGTGGGTCCCAGGAATCAAACTCAGGTTATCAGGAGAGATGGCAAGTACCTTTATCTACTAAATATCTCTGTGGCCCACAACGTCCTGTTCTAAACTCAGGATATTAAAGTGGACAAAAGTTGGCTTTTACCTATCTTCGTGAAACTTTCTGAATGTAAGAAGTTGTTAGCATACAGGAGGCAAATGAGTCCATGTGTTGTGATGGAGTGGAGTCCTTTACATGTGTCTATGACACAGGGAAGCTTCTCAGAGGAAAACACTGGTACTGACTGAAATTCTCATTAATAACGCTAATTCAGTGTTATTCTAGAATAGGAGGGAGGGAATGTTCAGATAACAGACTATTTGAAAATTGCTAGGAAGGAGAGTAGGAAGATGAGAGACTAGAATGAACAAATAAAGTTGAAGAAGCAAGAAGAGGTAATCCCTTGGAACTTCTGTCTGTACAGTAAGAGATTGGAAAGTGCCTAGGACATGAGTAGGCCAGTTGGGGGTCCCTGCAGAAACCCATTTGAGGGCAACAGGGATGAAAACGGCAGGGGTAGAGAGAAGAGATAAAGAGGGCAGCAGAAACAAGAATAAAACAGATGACCAAAGAAAGCTCTCAATGGCAAGACTAAGAGCCCAAAAAGGAAACAGTGGAAGCTCAAGACTTAAAGAGTGATAATTATGTAACCAAGCATGTATCGAACACACATAGTGACGCAAGTTCTGTAAGGTGGTAGAGAGTAAATGAGCAGGACACAGCTCTTAAGGTATTTTGCAATCTTATGGATAGATATCTTTGTTCTAGAAAAGTGTTCCAGACTGTGCTTGCAAAACAGAGTGTTATGGATGCTATGTTATAGATTTATACACTATGAATTGGGACTCAAAAGAAGAAAAACAAGAGGCTAGGTTACTCAGTGAGGAAAAGGGGGCTGTTAGAAAAGCTTCAGAGAAAATGTTCAAGTTGCATTTCTTTTCTTTTTTTTTTTTTTTTTTTCCGAGACAGGGTTTCTCTGTGTAGCTCTGGCTGTCCTGGAACTCACTCTGTAGACCAGGCTGGCCTTGAACTCAGAAATCCGCCTGCCTCTGCCTCCCAAGTGCTGGGATTAAAGGTGTGTGCCACCACTGCCCGGCAGCATTTATTTTCAATTTGCTTTTCAAACCACACTTTTCATGTGGCTGCTGTCTCAGACACTGTTCTACTGTTGTGAAGAGACACTATGGACAGGACAATTCTTTTAAGAAAGAATTTAATTGGGGGCTTGCTTAATAGTGTCAGTGGATTAGTCCATGCCCATCAATCATGTTGGGGAGAACAGCAGCATGACATGGTGCTGAACAGTAACTGAGAGCTCATATATGATTCCAAAGTTTTAGGAAGAGATAGTGACAGAAAGTGGGGAGAGATGGGGGGGGAGCAGCAGTGAGCAAGATTGGACTTGGTGTAGGCTTCTGCAACTTCAAAGCCCACTCCCAGGGACACATTTCCTCCAACAAGGCTACATCTAATCGTTCTCAATTTCACCAATTGGGTACCAAACATTTAAATATATGAGCCCACGGAGGCCGTTCCCATTCAAACTTCCTCAGCCATGCTTAGAAAAACTCCAGTGTTTCACCATAGCTGAGCCTAGGGGCAAGAGTTTGGGATATGTTCGGAGGTAAGGATAACAAATGCAGTAGACTTTTAACCAATGACACCTTATAGGCAACCAACCAAGAGACCAGTGAGGGGTCATACAATCACTGTTGGGTTTACAGAATGTACAGTGGAAGTGATGTACAAGTCAGTGGAAGAATCTTTCCATATGGTCTGGACATAGGCCATGACTATGGGGAAGAAAAGGGCAGACATCTGATGCATCCAGTCAACTGTGAGCAGTTTTCTGTACTGTATCTATCCACTTACCAATATTGTGGACATAGAAGAATGAGCATAGAATTGTACACAAATGACAAGTTTAACTTTGAATTCGGAGTGCTTATGAACACTCAGAAAGGTTGTGAGAACAGTTGGGTACAGATCTGGGACTCAGAAATCATCCTGATTTGCATGGTGGATGAGTTCTGGGCTGCAGCTCTCTAAAACAGACACACATAAAACCTAAGATCACACTGTTCCTAAGTGCTAATTTCA